TTGCTTGATCTGCGGCCAAGCAAAGCAGAAACTGCCAGGGCAGGAGAAAACGCTCATGTGCGGCAATGCGGCCTATTCAACGTAACGGTGGCCATGAATTTTAAAGTTGCCTTATTGTCTTGGTGTACACTCTGGAATGTCACGTGAATTTGCCAAGAAATTTTTCAAGGATCTTAAAAATCTTTCGGCAGTCTCGCTTCTATGTTGTTTTGTTGTTTCAGCGCCGCCCCACGATGATGTTTGTTGCCGCTCGTGTGGGCGCGTTCTGTGATTGGTGTTTGCTGTTTCATGTGGGCGCAGTATTTCTAGCCGTGCATGCTGGAGTACTTTTCTTTGCAGTTGTGGGGGCACGGTTTTGTTGGCTCTGTGCGCGGGATGTTGTTCTGGGTGGGTGTATAGGTTTTTTTGTTGCTGTTTGCTATACGAGTCATCATATGATAAAAGGATGCTTTGCGCTGGAGGGCGTATTCGGGCCACAATGCAAGGACATGCGGGGCCGCTCCACATGACCATGCGATTTCGAACTGATGTTTTCGAGCCTCCATACCACAAGACACTCTTTGCATATGCTCACTACACACTTGACTCTCAAGCCACCAGAGTTCCAGATGTCCTCCAAGGAGGCTCCAAAAGCGACAACAATTCTGCATTTCGTGACAAGGAGATGCCGACTGTGCTAATGCACGTTGCGGTGACCCTCCCCATGCCCACAGCTTCCAGTCCTTGAGGTTCAGCTTCGTCCTGGAGGTGACCGTCGTTGTCGGGCTCGGTCATGTAGTCCTTATATAGAAACCCTCATTGTCCGAAGCTCCGTAGTGGGCGGTGCCCACATTGTCCGGATGTTCTTCAAGATTTGGATGAGGTGGTGGGAACTTGGGGTTGTCAACAGAAGCAAGCTCCCCAGGTACGGCAGCAAGCTGTTTGTCGAAGTCAATGTCCAAGGGATCAGCTAGTCCGGATGGATGGGCAGGATGGTCTCGACGCCAGAAAACTTTGGCAGGCAGGGTGACTTTGGACGGAGCAGATTTTTAGGTTTTTTTCTTTGGGTTAGGAGTGTTTACGTTGCTTAGGGTTTAGAATTTTTAGGGTTTAGGGCTTCTAGGGCTTTTGGGGTCTAGGGCGTTTAGGAGTTTTAGGTTTTCAGGGTTAGGGTCTTTAGGGTTTTTAGGGTCTAGGGTGTTTAGGGGCTTCAGGTTTTCCATTCAGGGTTTAGGGATTTAAGGGTATCTATAGGGTTTGGGGTTTTCTAGATTTAGGGTGTTTAGCGTCTTGAGGGATTAGGCTTTTTAGGGTTTGGGGTGTTGTAAGTGGTTTTAGGGTTTAGTGGTTTTAGGGTTTTCAGGGTGAAGGATTTTTTGGGTTTACGGTAAAAGGCCAGGATGCAAATTTCAACGCTAATTCTCGAAGCCCCCCTCTGAAAGCACAACGCCTCAGTGACCCAACTGGAGGATGTAGACCGCACCCGTATGAAGAACACTTGCAGACCACACGTATGCGCAATGTTGTTGAAGCAAGCTTTTACACAGAGCGCATTTGATTCACCAAGGTCACATCCATCAGCAGTGTGATTGCGGCTGGGCTTACCTGCATCAGCGACCAGATATCGACCCAATGACGGGGGGACTTGTTTTTTCAACACACCATCCAAAGTACCTGCAGCGGGCTCCGCTGCCAGTTAAGGGTGTTGGATATGCAAGTAAGAAAGGACGGAACAAGAATTCTTGGCATGCTTTCTCCTTTATCTTGGTTTTCTGATTGTCTTTTATGCTGACAGTGTCGATGGTGCTGCTGGCGGTGCTGCTGCTGATATAGTCGGAAAAAACAACTGCGTGATGACCGCGTGTAGCGATGAACATCCCTGGCATCCTTCTGCTTGTCTGCCTGTTCATGATGCAGTGTGGTGCAATCGATTGTGACCGAGAATGGCAGCTGAGGAACCCAGGGCAGTCTGCAGAGTATGAAATCGAGGACATCCGCTTTGCGGTGCCCAAGCCTGACTTACTTGTTATTGCAAAGGTGGCGAGGACCCAACGAAGACTGTATGACTGCTGCTGCTGCTGCTGCTGCTGCTGCTGCTGCTGTCACGCGTCCTTCTTCTACTCCGCCTCCTTAGCTGTCGTATGGTGTTCCTTTAGCCTCCCCCAGATATACATCATGAGCTGAGGTGGGGCTCACTCCCCAGCACATCGAGGAGCTGGGCACGATGCTTGAGGCCCCCGAGAGCTTCAAGCAGGAGGGCGAGCACCTTGTGCTTGAGCACCTTGGACTGCCAAGCCTGCACTCCTACCCCGTAAACAGACGGAAGCAGATGCTTCGAGGCCAGGGTATGCCAGGGTGTTTCCTTCTCCGCTGTGCTGGTCGCAACGGGCCAGAGCTCTACCTTCACGGCGAAGAAGTTCCACAATACGCATGAGCGCCTTTCGGCTTGCAATGGCGGGCGGCATCGATGATGCATGACTACTGTGTTGGTTGTTTTATGGTGTCTCACGCTGCCCCAGTGTAAGCACCCAGTGAATGGCTTTTTGTGCCTGCCAATGGCCGCAGGCGATGAGAATCGCATGATTGCCATGAGGCGGGGGTAGCCTCAACAGGTTGTGGCGACCTTTTTTTTTTGGCTGGGGGGAAGGGGGGGGGGCGGGTGTGGTGGTACGGAGAAATAAAGAAAGAACGAAAGAAAGAACACAGGCAAGACGTTACAACCCAAAAAGCTTAAAATCCTATCCCTAAACAAACCCTAACCCTACCGACCCATAAGCCACCCTAACCCTAAAGCCATTAAACCCCTAACCCTTAAAACCCCAAGCCTTAACCCCAAAAACCCCGAGCCTTAACCCCAAAAACCCCAAACCCTAAAGACCCTAACCCAAAAAACCTTAAAACCCTAACCCTAAAACCCCTAAACCCTGACCCTAAAAACTTTAACCCCTAACCCTAAAAACCTTAAACTCTAACCCTAAAAAACCTAAACCCTGACTCCTAAAACCTAAGCCCTAACCCTGAAAACCTTAAACCCTAACCCGAAAACTTTAAATCCTCACCCTAAAAACTTTAACCCCTAACCCTAAAAACCTTAAACCGTAACCCTACACACCTTAAACCCTGGCCCTAAGCAGCTTAAACCCTACCCCCAACAACTTAAAACCCTAACCCTGAAAACCCTAAACCCTAACCCTAAAAAGCTTAAACCCCAACACTAAAAGCCGTAAACTTTAACCCTAAAAAACCATAAACCCTAACCCTAACATCTTTAAACCCTGATCCTAAAAACGTTGATCCCCAAGGCCCAAAGCCTACAATTTACAGTGCTGCCTATCAACTGCTAAAATGTGGTATTTTACGATATGTGGGGCTCGCCACACCTTACAAAGAGGTTCAAGGAACCTCAGCTATTGCAGTTTACAATATTTGGCGCCTTCGAAGCTTCCCCTGAGCTGCTACTGTATTGTAATTTGCAGTATTTCAAGCCAGCCCGGGAGCAACAAACAAACAAACAAGGCACAAGAAAAGAGCACCAACAAAATATTCACCCCTTCTTCTTTACTCCTCTTGCCGACTTTTTTGATTTTTTGCTGGGATGTCTCATGCGGATACTGCCGGCTCTCAGCATCATTGCCGGCAATGCAAACCCCGCAGTGCCAAGTACCGGGGGGGGGGGTGAGACCAGAAGCAGTATCAGTAGTAGTGTAGCAGCAGTACTACTAGTAGTACTGGTAGGACTAGTAGTGCAAGTAGTACTAGCAGACTAGTAGCACTAGTAGCACTAGTAGTACTAGTAGTATGGGTAGTAGTAGTAGTAGTAGTAGTAATAGTAGTAGTAGTAGTAGTAGTTGTTGTTGTTGTTGTATTAACAGTAATAGTAGTACTAGTGATACTCTTAGAACTAGTAGAACTAGAAGAACTAGTAGTACTAGCGGTACTACTATATTAATAGTATTAATAGTACACAAAGAACGGAACCCCAAACCCAACACCCGTGGGCCCTGGACACCAAAAAATAGTCTATCTGCTAGTTTTCCAATAACGTTTTAAACGCCAGACACAAAGACAATGGAACCGCAAAGCAAGCCCAAATGGACCCTGGAGCCAAAAAATATGTAGTCTGCTAGTTTCCAACAACGGATAAGAACGGTACCCCAAACCCAAACCCCGGTGGGCCCTGGACACCAACAAATATTCTATCGGGGGCGGGAGGGGGTTTCCCGCAAGCCCTGTTGTCCGCCATTAGCCTTACTTAGAAGGGTCCTAACCGTGGCGTCAAGGGTACATACATATATATATATATATATGTATTTACACTATATACATATTGACATATATATATATGTGTGGGTTTAGGGTTTAGGGATATATATATACATGTAGATTCACACCATGTACACACATATGTGTATATATATGTATATATACATACCGTGTAGGATTTAGGGTTTCAGGGTATACGGTTCACTTTTTAAGGCGCATACATGATATGTAGCAGGTCTGTGGGCGGTTTTCCAATTGCAGTCCTTTACTTGGGTGCCCTAGGTTCTAATTTTTTCGGGCATGTTTTACAAGGGGGACCCAAAGCGGGCCATAATCTTGCCAATCTACCATATATGGGGCCCCAGGATTGTGGGCCCCTACCAGCAACCCCGTGTTTCAGCCGTAGATTATTCTCAAAGTTTTATCGGGCTGAGTAGCCACTTAAAACTGGGTATATGCTTCCTTATTGGGCTCAACACGTAAGGCCCTTGATGGGTTCTAAGTTGGCTTATAAGCAAAATTATCAATGGTTACTAAGCCTCTTGAACCCTCAAGTAAATCCTTTCTAAACCCAAAATTCTCAACAATAAACTCAAAACCCTAAGCCTTACCCGAAGCCCCAAGGGCCCCAAAACCGGATCCTAAACACTTAGCCCCTAAGCCCTGAAACCTGAACCCCTAAGCCCTGAAACCTGAACCCCTAAACCCTAAACCCTAAAACCCCTAAGCCTTAAACCTTAAACCCTCTTGGCAGCAAGGCTGAGCGCGATACGAACGAAGAGTCACCTGCAGCGCTCTCAACATTGATAGCAAAGGTTGAGGGTCTAGGGGAGATTTTTGGGATTCGGGATTTAGGGGTTAGGGTTCAGGGTTTAGGATTGAGGTGTTAGGGCTAAGGGTTCGGGGCTTCGGGTTTGGGGTTAAGTAAGGCTTAGGGTTTTTTTTGGGACCCCGACCCCAATAATTGGAACCCTGCTACATTCCTATGATAGTAATGTGATCTTTTTTAATTTCCTTTTTTGGGTGGCTGTTGGCAGCTAAAAACCCATTGTTACCTGTTTTTCTAGACAAAGATATAGGGGTTTGGGAGCTCGGAGGTCTAGCAGTCAGGGTACAGGGCTTCTGGTCTCTAGAAGCCGGATCTTGCCATGGCCCGGCTTCAGACACTGGCAGAAGAGGGCACGGTCATTCCGCGGTGAGTATTGTCACATGAGATATGGCATCTAAATTGATTTCAGTGATATTCCTGCATCATCCGATGTTTGGGACGTGGCCATGACGCATCAGATGCCCCAGGATAACACAGGTCTACCATGGCTAGCCCCACCATTCAACGAGCCCTAGACCCTAAACCTAAAGAGGCTGCGGCCACCCTCAGGCAGGCCTCCGGCAATACCCATGACGGCCACAGCTTCACTTACTGTATGATCGCGGTTTAGGGTTTCGGGGAACAGCATCAGCGGACATATGTCGTTCGACGGCTCGGAAGTTTTTTTCCGGGAGGCCAGCTGCGCTTATATCAGCATTTAGGGTTTCGGGTTTAGGATTTAGCGCTTAGGGTTTAGGGCAGTTGCAAGGCCACTGATAAGCCGTTAGCTTCGAGTTCCGGGCAACTGAAAACTACTACTTAGAGTTTAGGTTGTTTTATAGGGACAATGGAAAAGACCATGGCAGCTACTATTGAGGGTTTAGGTTATACGTTGCCAGAAGACTGGAGCTTTTTGTGTGATTCTCATGATGACAACGCTTTCAAACAGACAGGGAATGGTAGCTGGCGCGCGCTAAAAGTTCTTGAGCCCAAGAACCAACGAAAACGGACTAGACCTAAACGTCAGGCAATCCCCCTAATACGAAATATTTCCCATGAGAGACCTTATGTGCTGGGGCGCATATCTAATGCTAGGGTTGTGCATCCTTGGAATACTATCCCTATTTTTTTACATGACACACAGCAAAGCTGAAAACTCCCTCCGTCATCTGAAGACTTTGCATCCCTTAGCAGAACGCATCCAGGAATACTATCCCTAAACGCTGAACCCTAAGCCCTAAGCCCAATTGTGGCATCCGTAGCGTTCCTTTGTGGGCCAAGACCCCAAATCCTAAACCCACTCCGCAGCCCCACACCCTCAAGAGTTCAGGGTTTAGGGTAAAGCGTAAGATAACTCAACAAAAGCCCTTCACCCATTTAACCTGCCAATGTCCTAGGAAGGACCCATGAGCTCAAAACCCCGGTATACCTTTCAGGGAAGAACCCCCAGAACCCAGCCACTAAATCCCAAACCCTAAGCCCACAAACCTTGGACTCCGATCCGAAATTTGAAACCTTAAACGCACCAGAAACCTTTGACCCTCTCCTTTCTTTATGAAGGAAACGGATCCTCCCAGTAGCCCAGATGCGATCCCGAATAACGTGGTATGATCACCTTGCATGCTTTGTTCTATTTCCTTAGATGTCCTTATAAAGCCGCCCCTATATCATCCTAGTCTCCGTTTCATTTTCCATTTATCTTCCTTTTGACTCCCCTTCATTGGGTGAACCCTAACAACCAATCCCTGAGCCCTAAACCCTAGAATCCCCTTAAGTAGATAGAATACGGGGTATATCGGGATCTTATTATGTTGATCTTCTATCTACTTAAAGGGGACTACACACCCTAAATGCCTAATCCCTAAACCCTAAACTGCCCCGAATCCCTAAACCGTACTCTCCAATCCCTAAACCCCAAATCCCTAGATCTTAAGACCTGAACCATAACCCCTAAACCCAGAGGTCAAAGTCCCGATACAAAGCAAACAGAGGCAAGCCTAGGCCCTAAAACCTAAACCCCTCAACCCTAAACCCTAAACCCTATAATATTAGCATTAGGATCCTTACCCTAAACCCTAAATCCTAAACCCTAAACCCTAAACCCTAAACCCGAAAATTCAAACCCTAAACCCTAAATCCTAAACCCTTATCATCCCTGAGCCCTGAAAAAAACCTAGGAGCCCTTACAGCTCTGTATCTCCTGTCCGGATCAGCGCGGCTACGACATCGCCCGGACGTAGCCTGGACGGTAATGGAAAGGAAAGTGGAAACGAGTATTTAGGGCTTAGGGTGAAGAGTCTTGGGATTTTGGGGTTTTGGGCTTAGGGCTTTGGGGTTTAGGGATTAGGGCTTGTGGGTTTGGGGTTTAGTGATTGGGGTTTAGGGATTAGGGTTTGGGATTAATGCTTTAGGATTTGGGGTTTGGGAGTTTCGAGTTTCGGCTATTGGTAACTTAGTGTTTGGAGTTTCACCCATCAAGTGAAGTCACTCAAGTTGATGGGTTGCTATACCCCTTTAACATCAAGCGTTGGTCCTTCTTTTCAACATTATAGTCTACGGGTGTTCAAGGAAGGGGTTAAAGTTTAAGGGTTTAGGGAGTGGAGCTTCGGGATGTACAGGAGTTTAGCAGTTTCAGGGCTTCAGTGTGTTTAGGGTGGTTTTCGGGTCTGGGGTTTATGGTTGAGCTTTGGGCATATTTTTTGGGGGGAGTGGAATTTTGGGGTTGAGAGTTGAGGGCTTGTCCCTGCCTTCGGATTTAGGGTTTAGGGTTTAGGGTTAGTTTCTTGACAACTCCCTGTACTAGGTATGTAAAAGGCAACGTATAACCAGGGTAGTATCCTGTATGCCCCACAACCCGAGGGCTGCACAACGCTTAATTACTTTTGGTTAGCTGGGAAAACAGGAATGGACAAGAACATGGAAACTACTATAATGGGCTGGTCAGGACCCATTTCTTTTTTCCTAGCTAACCAAAGGTAAGATCATGCCTACTTAGTCCCTGAGTTTCACTGGTATGTAACTTAGGCCACCTCCTACTTGACTTGAAACTTACAGTAACCTCCCGCAACACTAGCACTGGCCATGGACTCCCCAAACGAGGCCCTCATCCTCTCAACAGAGGCTGAACCCTAAACCCTAAACAGGGCAAACAAGGGGTCTAAGGTTAGGAGTATGGGCCCCTACTATGGGCCCTTAGGCCTTTTAGTAGGGTATATAGTAGGTATATAAAGATCCCAGGGTCAAGGGCCCATATTAGGGGCCCATGGTTTCAACCTCTGAAAGGGCTCAGGGTTTAGGGATCCTGAACGCCTAGGGATGACAAGTCAACACCTCTGCCGGGTTCTCTTAGGGTGAAGGCCCCTGGGATAATATTGGGACAACGTAGGATGATATTGGGAGAATATTGGGATAATATAGGGCTATATAGGGTTATATTGGGGATATATGGGTAGGAACTTCGGGGATCTTCACGATGCATGCAGGCTGTAGGGGGTGCAGGGCCTGGTTGGTAATGCGTTTAGTTTTTGTTTTTGGCATTTTTGGGGGGAGAAACCTTGTCAGCAGTGTAAATGTGCGGTGTATATTGTGAGAAGCCTAGATGAGGATGCTAAGTTAGCATGAGCCGTGCGTGCAAGGGAGGAAGTTTAGTCCAGGGGTTTCGAAGTACCACGCAGTCCGCTCCTTCCATGCCGCTCTTGCGAATTTGCCAGGCTGCTGTTAAGGAACTTAAACCAAGTTTCCAGAACGGGTATATATATATATATAGTAATTCATATACGGTTGCCCCAGGATAGTAACAAACCCTAAACCCTAGTAAGTTCCTTAACGGCAACCCAGAACGCTCATCCATCGACCCCACTAATAGGGGTTATGAGTAGGGTTTAGGGTTCAAGGTTTAAGGTCCCACCCCTTAAAGGGGTATTTAGGGGCTATAAGCTAGGGATCCTAATAGTTTGATACAGTTTAGGGTTTACGGGCGCTGGTTACAGGGCTTATGCAACGTTTGTGGCATTGTTGGCGACCAAAACTCTGCCTGCTGTGGTGCGTTCCCATAATTCCTAATTCCTAAACCATAATCCCCTAAACCCTAAACAGTTGAGGATCATGAAGTGCTTCGCACCGGAGATGGAAGCTTCAAATTATGGAAACACCCTCGAATTGCACAGCGAAACCTGAAGCATGTTGCTGCCAAATCCCTCAACCCTCAACCCTGAACCCTAAAGGTGCGTGGAAGAGTTGCTGCTGAACGTGTACGATGAGTACGAAGAATACTGCGAAGAGCATGGTTTGGACCGTTGGGTAACCATAGTTGAGGGTGTAGGAGGGTTTAGGGTTTAGGGGATTTAAAGGCCGGCAGCGCAGAGTCCACATGCAAAAAAGGGATATTAAATTTGGTAACCCCACACCCCAAAGTTAAGACCCTACAACTATCAAATGGCCAGAACAATAAATTCCCAAATCGCAGGGTTGGGGTTACCCGAAACACTGCACCCTAAATCCTAAACGCGCGTATCATTGGGACGGATGGCATGATCAGGTTTGTCATTGACAGGTTCAAAGTGTATTCGGTTAAGGGTTTAGGGTTTAGGGGCACCGAGGTCAGTTGTGGATTTTGCTGAGGCGAGGTGTCTTACTCGTCCGAAAAAACACAGCAAATAACAAGAGCAGTAATAAAATAGTAATGATAGCAATATTCATAATGTTCATAACAATAACAACGGTCGGCCGGAGCGTAAACGCGCACCGATTCATCGGTGCGCAATTGTTGAGTACAGAATCCACTGCGAAACGCAGCATTTTTGGCAAGCACGGAGCTAGCAGCCATCCAAAAGAACACGTCAAACAAATAGGAAAATTTACTCGTGCCTTTGCAAAAATATTATGTTCTGCAAGGGATTCTCATCGGCAGGGGTTTCAGCTTTCAGGGTTTTCTAGATTAAGAGTTGCACGCCGGGGGGGGGGGGTTATGTTGTAGGAGTGGCAGTGAAGGGTTGAGAGGTCGCAAGGGGTAGTAACGGTGGCTGAGGCTTGAAAGGCATCTTTGTTGTGGAGGAAGTGCGCTTGTCTAGGACCTCATGGTTGTGAACTGCAAGTCGTGAAAACCATGCTCTCGAAGCACGAACGTCATTATGGTTTGGGCATGGATGCTCTGGTTATCACATGCTCTCGAAACACGAACATTCTTATGATTGGGGATGGATGCTCTGGTGATCGTATGCTCTCGGAACACGAACGTCATTATGGTTTGGGCATGGATGCTCCTGTGATCGCATGCCCTCGAAACACGAACGCCATTATGGTTTGGGGATGGATGCTCTGGTGATCGTATGCTCTCGAAACACAAATGTTATTATGGTTTGGGCATGGACGCTCTGGTGATCGTATGCTCTCGAAACGCGAACGTTATTATGGTTTGGGCATGGATGCTCTGGATGGCTTGGGCATGGATGCTCTGGTGATCGTATGATCTCGAAACACGAACGTTATAATGGTTTGGGCATGCTGTCGAAAGACGAGCGTTATTATGGTTTGGGGGCATGCTCTGTGATCGCATGCCCTCGAAACACGAACGTCATTATGGTTTGGGCATGGATGCTCTGGCTATAGATGCAGTCGAACATGGAAAAACGCGATGCGTGGTATACGCAGTATTTCGGGCCTTTGAAGCACCTCGAATGTGTGGTTCGTCCCACGCAGGCCACATCCGGAGAGGTCGGCCAAGCGTTTACGTTCCGGCGGAGCCAATAACAACAATAGTAATAATACGAATAATGATAGTAATTACCTGGGCGAAGAAGCTCTGGGAGAGAAGGCTTACATGAGACTTAGTCCGGATTGTTTTATCTGCCGGAACAGTAGTTAGCGTTTGGGTTTAGGGCTTAGGCGAGACAGGAGAGCTTGTGGCTGACCAAAGATAAAGGTCACCCAGAGGACGAGAAGCAGGCCAGCAGGCAAAAGATAACACAAGACCGTCACAAGGAACCCTAGAAGCTGACCCTGGACCTTGAGAAATACTGAAACTCCGAAACAGTAACCCCAAAACCTTAGACCATAAAACCTTAAGCCCTGAAACCTTAAGCCCTAAAATCTTAAATCCTAAACCCCACACCTGATCCTATTATACCTCGGCCGTCGCAGCCGCTACCTTTAATGAGCGCCGGTCGCCATTGCAACTGCACAGGTAGCAATCACATTTCAGAGGCACACTGCTCCCGTCTACAGCCATGCACGGGGGCAATCGGAAATGCGCTGCGGCCAGCTTGCGATTGGCGCCCGGATGGATATGTCGGCAGCATCCTGAGCATGCCCCCACGTGCGATGAGGCAGGACTTTCAAGGCATACATCTTTGCCCTCACCACTTCGCAGAAGTGAATGAGTTGAGGCATGCAAAGGCAACATCTCAAGCTGAGTTGTGGCGCCTCGCTCGGCGTCGGCTTTTTGCTCTAAGAACGAATGCCTCCGGGGCAGTTGTTCTGAAAGGAACGGCAGCTCGCTCCCAGATGTTCAAGGGCAAGTGGACATTCAGCCAGCTTCGATTTGGTTTAGTCAACTTCGGCATCCTCATAGCCCCAGAGGACTCGCGATTCGACGAGTATTTGAAAGAGGCTGTGAGTGCAAGATCACTGCGCCGCGTCATCCCGTCAAGACTGTCAGATGCCACTGTTCGCTGGGTCGAGTCCTTGTTGGCCAGAGGCACACGCCTCGTCATCTGTCACGACAATGTAGCCAAGTTTCAATGGCACAGGGCAGAAGCCGAAGGAGTGCCCCGGACAACGGCTAGGTGGTCAGGAATGCTACACGTAACTTTAGAGCTCACTGACACACTGATGTGGTTGTGGACTGTGCGGGCTTCTACCTGGGCGGGCTAATATGTTGTTGTGGCCGTGGACTGTGTTGGCTTCTGGAGAAAATTACAAACCTAGCCAGGAAACACTGCATGGAAACGGAATTTATCTGCATGGACCTTGCTCTGCATGGGAATTTAGTGCATGGCCGTTGCTCTGCATTTGAATTGGGGACCACGTCTCTGCATGGACGATGCTCTGTATGTGGTGAAGACTGCAGTCTGAGCGTTGTGTGGGTGCATGGACCTGCCTGACTGAATGAGGATAGCTGAGTGAGTGACAGCTGCAAGTGAATTTGAGTGCAGTCAATCTGAATGCTGGAGTGCATGTCAGCAAGAAGCTTTGGCTAATGTAACAGTAGGAACTCGTGAAGTGGCTGCCTGTGTCTCTACGGGCTCCATTGAGTTTTCTCGCTGACCCCTCACCTGCAGAGTCTGACCACGACAGTCATTGCCATGCCTGCGCTGCTGCGCGATGTGCGTGTCTAAATCCTTGAGCCCTGAATCCTTGAACCTTTAACCCTAAAGCCTTCAACCCCTGAAACCCATACCTGAAAACCCTTGACCCTAAAACCCTGAACCCTAAACCCCTTACCTGTCAAGGAGCTGCAGATGGTGCTGCAGGCCATGGGCAACTGATGTCACTACTGAGGTTGGACAAGCAAAAGTTGACCTTGACCTTGTCAGGCCCAAAAAGCAACATCCAACTCCCTGAAGCCCCTTTGATGGTGCGGCTGAATGGCTGGATGTGCAGCTCCCAAGAATGTGTCAGTGTGCTTGGTGAGAGCAGGGATGAGAGAAAGTTGAGGCTCAGGGATGCTTTGGAACTTTGTGGCAAGATCATAGAGGTGAGCAACCGTCCAGGTGTCCAGTCTGCAAGCGAGTTTATTTTGTAAGTTTTTGGCGTAGGGTTCTAAGCTTTTGTTTGTGGGCTTAGGTGTTGGGAGCATAGGGCTTAGGGTACCTTGAGTTTTCCCATCCAGGTGTAGGGCTGTTCTTTTGTGATGAAGGAAAACGCATCGAATGATGAGTTTTCCTTTGTCTCCGGGGCAAGTCTATGAGTGCTGTCTTGCCAGAAGCAAGCCATTGACTGCAACACTTTAGTGACAGCCCTGGAACATGCAGGTGAGTTATGGGTGGCGTTATGCTCTGTGAGCATGAAGGCTGTTATACGGGCATCAAATTGTTCGGTCACCCTGAACAGTGAACTCGACAAGCTGCCAGCATTCAGAGGTGCTTTAAATGTCAGGCTGTCAGATGGAGGACAGTTCCAAGTTGCAGCCCAAAAAAAGCATCCTGGACTTTGGCTTCTATGTATCGAGTGACAAAATTACTTTGTTCAAGTCCAATGGATATGGCTGGACCGAAGGCAACATTTTCCTATGCTTTGCTACACTGACTACAGAGCTGTGAGATGAAAAGAATCATCATGTACCCTCGCCTGCTACACTTTCTCAAGAACCTGAGATGCACTGGCGCAGGTGACTCCAAAGAGTGGGTCAAAGACTTTGTGGCTTTCTTCAAGTCCAAAAAGCAGCTGTCAACCCAGCTGAGCAGCATCAACATCTCCAAAGCCAGCTTCATTGCAAGTGTCAGAGCCAAGATCACTGCTTTGGAAGACATGCTGGTGGCTAGAGCCAGAAACCTTCTGACCCCTGCGCAATTCCAGGCCCATCAGGAACTCGTGCAAGCCTTTGGCTACAACCTTCAAGCAGCAGGAGCCAAGCAAAAGAAAATTGAAACCCGCCAATAATTTAAGGCTACAAGCCCCAAAGCCTAAGCCAGAAACCCAGAACCCCACACCCTTGACCCTTACCCCAGAACCTTCCAGCTGTTTTTGACAGGAGTCGAGTAGCCAGTATGCCTGCTACCTGGGACCAGACCTGCCTAAGCCATTGGCTAGCTCTAGCAGCAGAGACAGGCCAGGCAGTAGAGGTCATTCAGCTCCCACGGAGAGCCCAGGAAGCCCTTTCTTCATCTGGACAGGTGACGAAATCTTTGTGTGGAATCTCTTGGACCCACCTAGAATTCTTGAGACCAAATTTGGAAAGGGCAGGGCAGCATGGTGGGTTCGGTCCAGAAGAAGCTCAATGCTGCAGAAGTGCCAAAGTGCACAGCATGCCTGTCAAGAGTATCTGAAGAGGGTCCAAGACAGAGCCCAGCCAGATGACATCTAAACAAGACAGGGTTCCTGATGGAGGACATGGCAGCCCCACGCTACACTGCGAGCTTGTTGAAAAAGAATGTAGGGTTTAGGGGGTTTAGTAGCTGGATTTAGGGTTTAGGGTCTATTGTGCTTAGTTCGTTTTCGGTATTTTACCTGATACTGGACTAAAAGTTTCTCTTGGTCTACGTTGTCCTTTTGGAGTTTCTGCACTATCCTGCCAGGGCTTCAGAACTAGTACTGTTTATGTCGCTTGGTGCTTTTATTGTTCTTTATTCTTT